GAACAAAGAGTCTTTATTCGGGCTTAAGCTCGGACTCTCAGACCAAACTAAGGTGGAAGGTGGTAGGTGGTAGGTTCGTCTGAGAGCCCCGATTGCAGGGGGAAGGGAGTTTTCATAGGTTTCAGACAAAGGGAGGAGGGGAATGACAGAGTTATATTTTGATTGGTCCAAAGAGCCCATATGTGCCAACATACTTTTGAATTTTTTGGTTAGTCTCGAAGGCCTCTCATTGGTGGGTGCTGCCCTCAGGGCTGTGGAATGTGCTGACTGTTATCTTCAGGGCTAGAGGGCCCTGTTTATTCCTTATAAGGCCTCAATCCTGCACAGGTCCCCTGGACATGCCAGGGCTTGCCTAGTCTATGACCATGAGACCTCACAAAAATGGAGGAATCAGCAGTCAAAATGGAGATGGTGCAGTTTGTCCCTCTGGTTTCCTCAAGCCAAGTGATTTACAGAAGCAAAAAGAGCAGTTCGTCCTAAATAGGGGCAGGGGTCTAGGGAGTCCAGGGGAGGGGGCCAAGGAGGAAAGTTCCACAGCACTTTGAAGACTATGTTATTCATAATTGATCATTCAGCAGCCTGTGTTTGAACTGGGTGGTGCAGAAATTGATCATTCAGCAATGTTAATGCCTATTTCCCTATCTCCTGAATTCGTTTGTCTTTGAATGACTTACAATATTAAGGGCTACTTTAATGTGCACGTCTCACTCAGAATTGGCCATTTCCAATTGAGTTTTTGTAAGGGAGCTTTGTTTACCATCATACCAATCCTGTTGTTGACATGTCAGTTTGTTTCTATGCTGCACTGGGACGTGTTAGAATTTGGACATGCTTTCAACGTATGGGCAAAATGGGTTTGCTGATTGTATACTGTCTCCAATACACAGTCGGTAAGATTTCTACATGACACAGGATAATTTCTTGTCCACATACATAGGTACGAACACAATGACTAAACCAACACTTGAAGTCAGTGGGGATCTTAGGCAACATCTGGCTCCATTTTTCCGGCTTCTTTTTCTCGGGCTGGGAAAGACTAATTTCCTAGTCACTTCCGCTGCTTGGTGACTTCATGGTTAGTCAGTCGGCGGACGCCCTCCCGAAAGCTTCCCTTGGTCCCTAAGGGGACTAAAGGACTTCGCTCCACCCATACCGAGCGAGAGGCATTTATGGCAGGTTCACGCCGAAGTGCTTAGTCGGCCTGGGCGCGCCTGTAGGACCTCGCCCTCCGGAGACTCTCGACCCAGGGAGAGGAGGATCGTGGCCGCTGACCCCACGCTTACTGGCAGGTGAGCGGAGGCGGCGGGCAGCAGGGCTCCGCGCGTGGACCTCGGTGGACAGGGCGGATTCCGGGCAGGCCCGAAGCAGGCAGAGCCTCGGGCGCCTCGATTCCCGACATGCCCCGCGCGGGGGCCTGATCGCTGCTGCGCTGTTGCCTCCGCCGCCGTCGCCGCCGCCAGAGCCTGGGTTGCTGGGGGTGGATGAGAGGTGGGGCCGTGAGGACCCTGCCGTCTAGGTCGTTGTTTTTCCTGCCTGTGGCGTTTTCCTCCTTCCGTCACACCCTGACGGCCAGGGGGAGCTCCGGGGGACATGCCTCTCTTCGCCACCAATCCCTTCGACCAGGATGTGGGTAAGTGTTCCCACTCTCCTGGTGCGTGCCCCACTGGACGGCGGGTCCACTCTGCCGGCTCCCTGCCCGCGTCCCTCCGGACTCCAGGGCCCAGGCCACGCTCGACCCCTTGGCGGAGTGCGGAGAAGGGAGAGGGCTTAGCATCCTTCCTGAAAGAAGCGGGACTCTGCCCCACTGCAGAGGCCCTGGGTACAGGCCAGGGCTCCGAAGGACCTGCCCAAGGGGTCTGGGTAAAGGCACCTCTGGAGGAGCAGCCGGGACTCGGCTTCGGGAAGATCGGCCAAGGGCTGGGCGTATCTTGGTTTTAGCAGGATTGATCATAAGCCCTGTCGTCTGTTTCCCTGGCCGAGGGTAAAGCAGCTGCGACTGGCAAAGTGTTTTAGGTTAGGTTCCTTAGAGGATTTCAGAGTCGCTCTTGTAACGGTCCCTGGAGGAGAGAGTTGTAGTTAAGGGTAGATTGGAAGCTTTGGAGAGCTGCAGATGAAATACTTGGCAACAACTGAAATGGAATTGAAGACATGAGCCTTTGGGATGTTTTTCCCGGGCTGTGTCTCTGGACCTTACAAGTGTGGAAGGGGAGTGCATCCAGAAAGGTGTCTGAAATGCTAAATTTTTGTGTTTTTCTGAGTCATTGGTGTTAGATACTGATCATACCAGCTCAACAGGTTTGTTTACTTATTTTTCTGGATTGAAGATAATAATAAGGGGATTCGAATTTCTTTTTTTTTCTAATACACATTTTTAAAAAAATTTTTATTGTATTTTTGTGTATTTCATACAGAACAACTCAATCTTAATCATCTTTATACCCCCTTCCCTACTGGCACCCTCTCATACCCCCCCCATTGGAATTCATACATTCTGTCATTTTTTAAAGGCAAGTTAGTGTCAAGTTAGTGTCCCCAGACGCTCCTCAGTGCAAGTTCATCTACTGAGGCCTAGTCAGCTTATCTAGAGTCCCTCATTTTAGGAAGATCAGCTCTTCCTCATCTAGCAGTAATCAGTTGTCAATATTTTTTCAGCTAAGATTGGGGTCTGCTGTCCATTTCCCCAGTTCTATGCTGGGTTTTTGTCTGCTTGGGTTTGTATGGGACTTGTGTATGCTGACACCATTGCTGTATGTTCATATCAGCAAGGTCCCAGGAGCTTGTAGGACTCTGTTTCCATATGCTCATGCACCTTCTTTCTGTCCACTCTTCTATGATGGTCCCTAAACCCTGGATTGGTGAAGTTTAGTATAGGAGTCTTGTCCAAGAACCAGCATTCTTGCAGACTCTTTAATCTCTATGCTTTGGCCATTTGTGACCTTTTGTGTTCCTGGTCCTCTCTTGCATGAGGAAGCTTCATTAATGAGAATTGAGAGAGTTATTAGTGCAATTTGAATGTCTTGAAAGTTTTGTGATGATGGGAATGTGCTTAGGAACTAATGTGACACCACAGTGTAGAGTGAAAGTAAACCGAGCAGCATGCCCAAATCTCATAAAATTGAATTTAACCATCCCTGTCGCAAAAGAAAGTTAAGGGTAACCTGAGTTACTTTATGAATTTTGTTTATGAAAGGTACATTTTGAATTTTGCTCTTGAACTCTCTATATAGCACCTCACTGAAGCTTAGAGGGTTGGTGTAGGAGTTCAGTCCTATCCCTGCCACTTCATAGTTCATAGTGAAGCCACAGGCAAGGTGAATTCTTTGCATTGTGGGGAGAAGCGCAGTTCTGTTCTGTGATGAAGTGAAATAATATGTGTAGGAGACGGAGACTGCTGTGGTGGCTTTAGATTGTGGGCGTAGGTACAGGCTTTTTGTTCCAGTTTAAGTGAATGTCCTGAATGTGAGCAGTGGATGGAACTTTAGAAATCATCAATGATGCTAAGTAAGTAATGAAGTGGAAAATTGTGTTTAGTAAGTGCTTAGCACTACTACTTATGAGTGCAGTGCTCATTGACTTAAGAGATACAGCCACAAAGACCATTTGCTTTCAGTTTTACAACTGCATCAATCTCTAGAACAAATGCTTATACTGATAATACTTGCTTCTCTTTCCAGCACTTTTATCTAGCTGTAACAGTCCTCCATAGTCTAGCTACCAGCTCACCAAATCACTTTCACCTCCTCTTGTTCGTTTTTATGGTGTTGGGAATGGAACCCAAGCCCTAATGTGTGTTCTATTGAATTTTTTGAGCACACATTTGCATTCAATATAGATTTATTTCTTAATGTCAAACCTGTTCCTGCAACACCCAGTTCAGACACAGGCTCCTTCTTGCCTTTATGCTTCTGTTCCTGTTATTTCATGTCTTTCTACATATATATCCTCATGTTTTAATGTCAACTCAGAATCCAACTTGTTCAACCTGAATTACTTCTTGACTACAACCTGGAGTTTCTTAGTAGCAACATTAAATAACACTCTTAAGGACATATATAGGCACGTCCTATACCACATAGCATGTTTAGCCTTGTCCTTGTCCTTTACTCACTAGATGCCAGTGACACTTTCCTGCCACTCATGATTTTAAAAGTCCCTGGGCATTATTTACTATCTCTTGGGGTGTTAAAATAATTTTTATTTTAAAACCATTATAATTTTCACTTTTTCCTGAATTCCTATAAATTACTTTAGCATTTTTGTCATCACTAAACTTTCACACATTAGAGATAGTTGTGTTATTTTGTTCTGTATTTGACGGCTGCTCTGCAGCAGGCTTTCAGTAGATGTTTGTTGAGTTGAAAATACGCCAGTTGAGCCTGTTAGACTTAGGTATCTCCTCTAAATTCAGTTTTAATGATAAAGATAATTTATACCATCAAGCTGGTCTCTACATTTGTAGCTGTCTTAGGCCATTTTCTTTGCCTACTAATTTGGATCTTACCAATCTTAACAGCCAGTCCCTCATTTATTTTGTTATGGACATCTTAAACATTTTTCTTCTAGTACTTTATTAGTGGGTTTCTGGGACACCAGTTTTTTTCCTGCTTAGCTTCTTTTTAAATCTTTTTACTTTTCTTTTTTGGAGTGTCCAAATGTTGAGCAACTTGGGCTCAGTTCTAGAACCTTTTGTCCTTTGACACTTTGTTCTCTTCGAGCCTTAGGAGGTAACATAACTTAGTGTGAAGAATTTAGACTTTGGAGTGACTTAAATTCAGGCTTCAGATTTGCTGTTTATCAGCAGTGTGACTCTGGGCTAGTTGGTTAGATGATCTGTACCCTTGTTTTCTTATCTTTAATGCAGAATACTGGAATTATAGTGATTTTTAACTTAGAGAGTTAAGAGAGTTGAATTAGTGTTTCTAAAGCACTTTGAAAAATTTCTATGCTTTTTAATTTTTAATTTTAATTTTTTAAAAAAATAAATAATTCAGGCTGTGCTCTCTCCCTCTAACTCTACCAGAGACAGAGCAGAGCCATCATCAGTGGCAAAAGGCAGCTGCCCAAGAGCAGCACCCAAACCAGCTTCACACTCAGGAGAGAACACCCCTCCTTATGGTTTCTGGTACCCTACACAGTCAGAGAAACTCATCTGGTAACAAACTATAGACATAATCCCTGAACGTGTATGTAGTCTTTGCTTTTTAGTTTATGAAGTAAGATTTAAAATAAAAAAGCTACTCTCCTAGCTTTAAATACTACAGGTACTCCAGTGACTGCCAAATTTATATCATCTTGGTCTGAATTGGAGATGTGGATTTCCTTCTATTCAGTATTTCCAGCTGGATTTTGATAGGAATCTAGAAACAAGCGGTCAGTGATTCTTAGCTCTTTTCCCCAATCTTCTCACTCCTTCATCCTTGTCCATCTCTGTAGATGTATCATTACTATTTCCTGTTAGTTTTGGTGTCTAAGATCATTGATTCTTTCCTTTGCACTGTGCACTCATTCTACTAGTAAGATCTTTTGGTTGTCTGTATCGATGATTTGTCCAGAGTCCCTTACTTCCTTTCACCTTAGCATAATTGTACTCCACAATCTTCATCTCATTCAGAGGCTATATAGTAGGATTCTTTGTTACTACTTTGCCACCTGCAATAAAGTCTCATTGATAAAGGCCATTGGTCTTTCAGAGAAATTGGACCAGGCTACTTACCTGCCTAGAACTCTCTACTAGCTTCCTGTACTGTACATTTAAGGGGAGATCCAGATTCTTCATTGTGGCCCATAATCTGTCCCTTGTCTAAGTCTCACGTGATTGTGATCTCCAGACTCGCTCTCTGTTGTGCCAGGCTTCTTGGATCTGAGCATCCAAGCTCATTTCTGCCTCTGTAGTTGCTTATGCCGTTTTTCTTTTCCTAGTTACTGTCACCTTAGGTATTTTAAGGTCTTGGTATTTGTCACATCATTTGGGCCTTTGTTCAAAAGTCATTTTCTAAGAGAGGCTTTCTGTTAAAACAAGCAAACAAGCAGACAACCCATCTTTACCCACTCACTGCTTCTGTTTGTTTACTTGATCATGTTTAGCTATCTGACATTAAATCGATCAGTTGACAATCTCTTGTGTGGAGTGTCAACATAATACAGATGATTTTTCACTCCTCTGGTACCTTAGGGGAAATTCCTAGTACATACTAAGCACTCAATGTCTCTAGTAATGAATTCCTAATTTCTACATCGCCAGTGTTGTATTTCTGCTTGGTATACTGTTACCACTTAAAAAAATCATTCTATCAGAAAATTGAACTTTCCTTTCCATGTCATTTTTTAAAAATTATTTGATTGTTTTATAATGTTCTAGTTAACTTGACTTTTAAAATCCAGCCAACGATCTTTCTCCCTCTGTCCCTTTCTCCAGTGTTCGTGATCTAACCCATGGCCTTGCACCTGCCAGGCAGGCATTTTACCATAACCATGTAGCTACATCCTAGTCCTCGGCCTTGTTTTCTTGAGACAGGGTCGCTCACTGTGTATCCTAGTCTAGCCTAGTCTGCCTCCTAAATGCTGAGATTTATAAGGGTGTAACAACAGGCTTGGTGCCAGGAAGTATCTTTGAATTATTCCCTTGTGTCTGCTAAATCATTCTTTGTTTTGTTTTGTTTAGTGACAAGGTCTTACTATGTAGCCCTGACTGGCCTTGAACTTACTGTGTAGACCAGGCTGGCCTTGAAATCACAGAAATCCATCTGCCTCTGCCTCCAGAGTGCTGGGATTAAAGGTGTGCACCACCCCACTGTTCCTTTCCATGATTTTATTTCAATGATAGTAAATTAGTATCCTTAGTAAAGTTATGCTATTCACTGTGCTATATTTTAAATTTTGCTTAATCTTGTCAGTATGATAAACTGTAGCCACATTGTTTTCCTAAAGTGTGGGAAGATCTTGGCTTCAGGGTTACATTGCACCTACAGCATTTGCTATTAGTATATGGGGAAAATTTGTAGCTGGACAAGTACAGAACCCCTCTGAGTTTATTTTCCAGTTTTGTAAGTAATGATAAAAATATCTCACACTTAGGGTTGCTGTTTGGATTATTTATAAAAACGATGTTCTAACTCTTTACTGGTGTTAAATATTTTTCATATACCTCAGATTCGGTATATCCAAAACTATATGGAAAGTTTCTTTTTCTCTGCCGGACACACACCTTTAATCGATAACCAGCACTCGGGAGGCAGAGGCAGGCGGAACTCTGAATTCAAGGCTAGCCTGGTCTACATAGTGAGTTTTAGGTCAGCTGGGGCTACAGGGAGACCCTGTCTCATAAAGACCATACACACACACACACACACACACACACACACACACACAAAATATGGAAGTTTTTTTCCTCAATTACAGTTTTTCTCCTCTGTTTGCATGATTGAAAATCAGTTGTTGACTTAGTTGTGCAGCTCAGTGTGACATCTTGACTTCTATAGATGTAATTTTCTACATTCCCTACAACAAATCTGTCCTTTTGACTTGCTGACTGCCCCTCTGAGGTGCTGGTGTAGCTGAGGTGTGTTTGCTTTACCGTCCTAATGCTCTGGAATCCATCCCTCTGTCTGTGCAACTGGGCAGGTATTCATCACTGCTCTTTCAGGGTAGTGCAGACACTTGTAACTGTTCTTTCTGTCTCTGGTAATGGTTCCAAGTGGTGTTGTAAGAATGTAAATGGAATCCTGGATCTTCTGATTAAAATATTTTCTAATTGAATCTATAATTTGAACTCCTCAGCCTGGCTTATAATGTCTCCTGGTATTTGGCTCCTCGCTATGTAACCTTGGCTGGCTTGGAACTGTCTACATCAGGTTGGCTTTGAACTTGAAGCAGTCCTCTGCCTCTGAATCTTGGGATTATAGGTGTGGGCTGTTGTGTTCGCCTTGGCTTCTTATTAATTCAGCAGCCTTGTCTTCCATTCCTTTTTTAAAGGTGTATTTCACTCATTATTTTGATACTACTGTGCTTCTGATATATGTCTTCTGGTCTGAAATACCTTTCTCTGTTTTTTTTTTTTTTTTTTTTTTTTGGTTTTTCGTCTCTCTGAGACAGGGTCCCTCTGTAGCCCCAGCTGGAACTCACTGTGTAGCTCTCACAGAGATCTACCTGCCTCTGCAACCATGCTGGCTCTTGGTTATGCTTTGTTTTGTTTTTGAGTGGTGAGGATTGAGCCCAGTTCTGGAAGCATAATAAGCATTTGCTTTCACACTGACCCATACCTCTTCATTGGCCTTTAAGAACTATTAATGTTGCCAAGCTGGCTGAATGGCCACCCTTTCCCCACAGAGTGAGTGTGAGGGTCAGTCGTCCTGTCAGCATTTCATTACTTCCCCAAATGCTCAACAGCACAGAATTTGAGGAAATCAGAATTAATCAGTAAAAAGTTGTTTGATCCATTGAGAAGACTATTAAAATTCAGTTGAGGCTCTCATGTGTGATTTTTTTTTTTTTTGAGTATTGTTTGGCAAATCCTTAATCTTCCCTTTCTAAGCAGAACCATAGAGATAATCTGAAGAGAAAATGAGCTCATAAGCTTTGGATTCTTTAGAAGCAAATCTGTTATTTTTATTTATCTCTTTTTCCTTTGCTTCAAGGCCTGGTTTTGTCTTAGAAATTAATGGTTTGGGGGCTGGAGAGATGGCTTAGTGGTTAAGAACACGGGTTGTTTGGTTGTTCTTGCAGGAGATGCGAGTTCGAATCCCAGCACGCACATGGTGGCTGACAACTGTCTGTAACTCCTGTCCCAGGGTATCTGACAGCCTCTTCTGACCTCCATGGGCATTGCAATACAGGCAATACATGCATACACATAAAATAAAAATAATAAAATTAAAACAAAAAGAAATTAATAGTTTTTACTGCATTTGTTGTTTACCAAATCATGTTGAAATGCTACGTGTAGTTTATATTTGAAAAATACATTTTTTATAACTGAGAGGAACTGTACTGCTGACTTTCTTCATCTAGAGGCAGCATCAGAAACGTTCTGAACGGTTTAGCATTCTGAAATGCATTGCAGTTCTGATTAGGGACACGTTTGAGTCAGAGGCAGAGCCTGTGTATGCATAAGACATGAAGACGCCAGTTCCTGAGTGCTCGGCATGGCATGTCTGCTCATGATTATACCATCATCCTGGGTGTGTCATTAAGTTAGGAACTCTAAGAGCATGTGATAATAGAGCATTTGTACGTGATGAAATATAGGCCTGCTATTTTCAGTTATCTAATAACTTTTTAATGAATTTCATTTTAATTCACTTAGATATTATATTTTTACATAAAATTTTAAGATTTAGATTTTTTATTATTATTTTTATTTTATGTGTATGAGTGTATTGCCTGAACATACGTAAGTGCACTAGTGTCATGCAATGCCTGTGGTGGTCAGAAGAAAGTATCAGATCCCCTGGAACTGGAGCTATAAATGGTTATTAGCTACCATGTGGGTGCTAGGAATTGAACCTGGGTCCCCTGCAAGAGCAGAGGGTACTCTTAACTGCTGAGCCATCTCTCTAGCCCTAAGATTTAATTTTTTTTTTTTTGTTGTTTTTTTTGAGACAGGGTCTCCCTGTAGCCCCAGCTGTCCTGGATCTCACTGTGTAGACCAGGCTGGCCTTGAACTCACAGAGATCTCTCTGCCTCTGCCTCCTGAGTGCTGGGATTAAAGGTGTGCGCCACCATGCCCAGCCCCTAGATTTAAATAATTTTAATTGCACTTATGTGTTTTTTAAAAAGAACCTGTTTGGTTATGAGTCCAAGATGAATTAATTATTAAAATGGACCAAATCAAGGTAACTTCTGGCTTTCCTTTCCTGAGATGAAATAAATGTTAGGCTGGCAGATATTGTCCAGGCTGACTCAGGCTTGTTGGGATTCTAAGTGGTTAATGGCACAGGGCTCTAGGTACCAAAGCTTCATATGTGGAACTTAGCGTTTGTTGGATACTAAGATTGAGAGTAATGGTACTGAAACAAAGTAGAGTTTTTCTGTTCTCAAGAGACTTACAATATCTTTTAGTGCCTCAGCAGTTACAGGGAAATTTGAGGCAGTTGTTTAGCCAGAACAAAACCAAAAAGCATTTTAATATTTGCAGCCCAAGTACCCCACTTAGTTATGACAGTACTGTTAATTTTTCATGTTTTCTTTGCTTCTGTCCTACAA